TGTGTGTGTGTGTGTGTGTGTGTGTGTGTGTGATATTCCTTTCAGGGTCACGGGGGTCACTGGTGCCCATATCCAGCAGTCACAGTGCGAGGGGTGGGATACAATTAGTTACAAAGCTATTGAATAATCAGATATTAGATATTTAAACCTATTTAAGATTGGTTGCAAGTACTTCACGTTGTGTCATTTATTGCTTATACCAGAGAACAAAGCTGTAATAGCACAATCCATTCCTGTTATTTTATTTCCCACAAAAGTTACCAGAAAGCTGATCAAAGTTGGTAGGTTACAAGCTGAGGTACCTTTAGGAGGCTGGAAGAGTTTGGATTCAGGTAAAAGGTGTCTTTTCTGGAAGGGCAGTATCACTGTGTCTTGCAGTTCATTGATGATTTCATCCAGACCTGCAATATCTCTCCAGGACACCTTCAAGAAGACACAATCAAGAAGCAAAATCTTTAAAACCAAACAAACAAAAAACACAGGCTCACTGATGCAGGATCACAGGTACCTTTATAGTCTGTGGATCAACTAGGTGGGATGCAATGTTCATCTCATACTCTGTCAGCTTGACCCCCTCCACACCTATCCTCTTCATCAGCTGCTCTGCCTGGAGAGTTGATACACACGACAGCACAAGATGATAATAAACACAACAGTGTGCAAACCAGCCTCCATCCTGGTTTTCAGTATTTAACAACAAGATGTTTACACACAGTACTTAGGTTCTACTAACCCTTTTCTTAGCTTGACTCTTTTGTTTAGCGGTGGGGTCCATTGCCTCTACCACCCATTTGATGCTGTAGTATGTGGCTGCACCAAAGATGGTCAGCCTCACTAACATGCCAAACACTTCATTCCTGGACAAAGGCCGCATCAGGGCTTCACGGGGAAAATCTTTGAGCAGCATTTCTGCTGGCTGATGTCAGTCCATTGGCTGGATGAGGAGTAGGAAGCAGAATCATGAGACAAGCAGAATCAGCAAGAGATGGTTAAAACTGTGCTTAATAAATGCTTGAGTTTAATATGTTTATTTAATTTAGAGACATCCATGCCTAAGTTCTTATTCAAACAGTAAACAATACCAGTCAAGGTTACACAAGTCTAAATTATATTAAAATTTAATTAAATATTACCTTACGTACAGTGGATATAAAGTCTACACACCCCTGTTCAAATGTTCAGTTTTTGTGATGTAAAAATATGACAGCAAGACAAAAATTTTCACAACTTTTTCCACCTTTAATGTGACCTATAACCAGTACAATGCAGTTGGAAAACAAACAGAAATCTTTCAGGAAGGTGAAGAAAAAATAAACAACTGAGATAATGTGGTTGCATAAGTGTGCACACCCTTTTAGAACTGAGGGTGTGGCTGTGTTCAGATTTAACCAATTACATTCAAACTCATGTTAAATTGGAGTCAGCGCACACCTGTCACCAATTAAGACAAGAAGAAAACTGGCCAGGGAGGCTGCCAAGAGGCCAACAGCAACACTGAAGGAGCTGCAGGAATTTCTGGCAAGTACTGGCTGTGTAGTACATGTGACAACAATCTCCCGTCTTCTTCATTATGTCTGGGCTATGGGGTAGGGTCGTACGATGGAAGCCTTATCTTTCAAAAGAAAACATCCAAGCCTGGCTTAATTTTGCAAAAAGACATCTGAAGTCTCCCAAATACGTGGGAAAATGTGTTATGGTCTGATGAAACCAAGGTTGAACTTTTTGGACATAATTCCACAAGGTATATTTGGCGCAAAAAAAAAAGGCACTGCTCATCACCAAAAGAACACCATACCTACAGTGAAGCACAGTGGTGGTAGCATCATGCTTTGGGGCTGTTTTGCTTCAGCTGGAACTGGGGCCTTAGTCAGAGTGGACGATAGAGTTATGAACAGTTCCAAATATCAGTCAGTGTTGGCACAAACCCTTTGGCTTTCTGTTAGAAAGCTGAAGATGAAGAGGAACTTCATCTTTCAGCATGACAATGACACAAAGCACACATCTAAATCAACAAAAGAATGGCTTCACCAGAATAAGATTAAGGCTTTGGAATGGCCCAGCCACAGACCTGAATCCCATCGAACATCTGTAGGCTGATCTGAAGAGGGCTGTGCACAGGAGACGCCCTCGCAATGTCAGATTTGGAGCGGTTTTGCAAAGAAGAGTGGGCAAATATTACCACATCAAGATGTGCCACGCCAATAAGACTCCTACCCCAAAAGACTGAGTGCTGTAACTAAATCCAAAGGTGCTGCAACAAAGTATTAGTTTAAGGGTGTGCATATTTATGCAACCAGGGTATTGTAAGTTTTTTTTTATTTTATATTGTTTTGCTTTAAATGTTTCAGTTTGTTTGTTTCAATTGCTTTGTACTGGTTATAGGTCATATTAAAGGTGGAAAAAGTTGTGAATTTTTGTCTTGCTGTCATTTTTTTACATCACAAAAACTGGGCATTTGAACAGGGATGTGTAGACTTTTTATCCACTGCAACTATGAGGTTAATGTGTATCCCGTGCAGAATACAGCATACATGAAGCAGATTTTTTAAATATGCTGCACGAAGTAATTCTCCCACTCAAATGTTATTCACCACTAAAACATTTTTTTTCCTGTTTAATTATTACCTGCGGGGAATCACCCTGTCCTGTAAGACATCTTTTCATCATTGCAACATCCACTGCTAGCTAAGCTAAAGCGACCTCAAAATAAATGAAACGTAACAAACTCACCAAACGTCGTAAACTGCTGCTATTTACAGACATTTAAATTCTTATATGGCACAAATGTCTGTTTTATAACTCGTTTCGTGAGGATAAAAAGATATACTTACTAAAACAAAAATGAGGGTTTCCTCAGTGCAACACGTTTTGTAACTCGGGTAGGAACAAACATTTTTGTTCCGGCGGTGCGTTTTGGTTTTCTTTTATTTTTTATTTATTTATTTTTTTTGTTTTATTTTATTCAAATAAACGAGCAGAGGGTTGCAAAAACCTTAAACCCTTTGGTAT